CTCTCCTTCCCTTCCCTTCCCTTCCCTCTCCTTCCCTTCTCTCTCCTTCCCTTCCCTTCCCTTCCCTCTCCTTCCCTTCTCTCTCCTTCCCTTCCTTTTTTTTTTTTTTTTTTTTCTATTTATATACATAACAATCTATGTGTATTTACATGAAAACTAGTAGGTAAGGTTTAGACTGCAAACCAACCTTTTCTCACTCCAGCAACATAATTTTCATTGATCTCCCTCTGATCTCTCAAGCACTTCTGTAAGTTCCCCAGGCTCCTGCCTGCTCACAAGAAAAAGGCCAAGTTTATACTGAGCTAGAGATGCACACACTGAGGCTGTAAGGGTTTCACAGTTCCTAGTCCTGCATTAGTCGAGTTGAAAATTCTGTATTTTAAGCCAGTCATTAGCTATTAATTAATTCCTGATGCACAAAGAGGTAAAAATGTATCTGTTTGGTGCAGTATTCAACAAGAGTACTGTTAATTTTATCATGATAAATACTGATAATTTAAACTAGGATCATCTAGACAAAGAGACTATTGACAGAAAATGGAGCTGAGACCCTGTAATGAAAATTTCTTAGGAATTTACTTCAAATAACTATAAGGCTTTTAAAACCCAATACAGTGATGAGATGTCTGGTCATTTTAAGATGACTGTGTCTGTCTTGTAATATAAAATGAAGGATCAGAGACCAACTGGCTTGTAAATAAAATACCCCAGAACAGATTACCTCCCACAGTCTGTAAGAAAAACAGAACTTGAAAACAAATGCAGATGATTGAAAAAATGCCTTACAGTGTATGCAGCTGTCTCCCAAATGGTTACTGATCATTTTACCTGCAAACATGAGATGAAGCATTTTGGATGGGTGAAAAGGCCTCATTTTCCCTTAAAAGTCTGATTTTGAGCAAATATCATAGGAGACTTGAGTGAGCCTATCTGTATGCTCTACCTGCACACTAATATTCTCAGAAGAAAGAATTGTGGTTTCCAATTGATTTTTGCAGCCAGTGTACACTTTCTCCTATGAAAATAGCAGCTGACATAAATGGGAGCTAACAGCCACTATGAGCAGAATTCTGATGTATTTATATATATAATTGCAATGGTCATTTCATGTCTTTTCGTTGTACCTGCATCCCAGAAGATGCTAGATCAATGTCCAATGTACTTTTAACAATTTGAGTCTTAAATTGTTATTTTAATATTCAATTCTAAAGATTCCTGGTTGATTCCTGGCATGACCGGAAAGGGCTTATGAAAGTGTGAGAGTTAATTCAATATTCAAACTCCAAAAAAAGGGCTTTTTTTTTAGAGCTTCTTCTTTCTGAAGGAAACCTTTAGGTTATGAGAATCTGTGCTTGGAATCCTGACAATTCTTTCTGATAGTAAGAGGAGAGCCTGATTCTCGGCATAATTGGCTGCTGAGGCACTGGTGTAGGACAACAGGAGTGCCACAAGACAGGGAATTTCTACTAACCTAAAATCAGTGTCACCAAGAGCAAAAATCAGTATTAGAATAAAGACACATTGTTTTGATACACACCCAGAAACAGTCTTGGTTTATCAGGCAGCCTGTGCTCATCAATGGGTTAACCTCTGGAAACAGCCTAAAGCCTTTTTATACTGTAGGCAGATAACACAGATACATAGATATCAGATGATCTGTGGCACAGTAAATAGATAATCTAACATGTATTATGACAAAATGACAAAAATTGCTAATAATTGCTAATAATTGCTAATATCCTATAAATAGGATTAACAAAACCTCCCCTATCAGCCAGGTCAGCTAAGATCTTCTATGGAAAGATACCAAAATTTACCACAACTTTTTGGAAATCCAAGTGTTAGTAATTAAAATAATTCTCTGAAACTGGGGAATACTACAGACTTACTTCTTCCAGCTGGGTGAATGTAATACTTTCCTCTAAGTGAAATTTCTTTTTCTTTTCTCTTTTTGTTCTTCCGAACCAGACATTGACGAGTGCTCGGATGGCTTTGTTCAGTGTGACAGCCGTGCTAACTGCATTAACCTGCCTGGCTGGTACCACTGCGAGTGCAGAGACGGCTACCACGACAATGGGATGTTCTCACCCAGCGGAGAGTCTTGTGAAGGTCGGTGTCCACAACACACGGGTGATGGTGCTGCTTGCATCACAGGAGCAGCTGCCATTTCTAGTTGCTAGCCGGCACCATGTCAGGGAAAGTTAAACTTTGACCTAAATAAATCACGGTTTAAATAAGCAGTAAATGGGAGATCAAAAAAAAGGGAAAATAAAACTATTCCTAATTTATAGGTGAGCACTGACCCACTGGAAGATGCAGTGATTTGCTAAAGATAATAAGTAAAGCCAGTATATAAGCCAGTGCTTAAATCAGAATCTCTCTGACCCTGCCTTCTGAGCGTGGCCCTTGCATAAAGAACTGGGAAAAGGAAATCATATGCTGATCAATCTCCTCCCATGCTCTTTGTGCAACTGAAGTCCTAAAATAGAAAAGCCAAGGATTTTTTTTTCCCCCCTCTTTCTCCCCAAAAGGGAGCAAAGGTTGTTTAATTTTCTCTGAAGGCTGGCTTTTATTTGCTAGATAGCTGCAAAGGAAAGCTTCGATACAAGATCAAATTACAGCGTGATAGGAGGTAATCATTTGATCTGCAGTTTGTGCTGAAGGCTAAACTAATGCAGGTGACCTCGCATTTACTGGGGGCTCATAGCCTGCACTGCAATCTGTCACTCCACAGTCACCTGGGCATAGGTCAGATTCTTTACATGTGGAAGTGGGCCTCAATCCAGACCCCTGTTTCTCTCCTTCATTTCTTGTGTGCTGAAATGGGCTGTGTTGCAGATCTTTGCCATTGCAGAGGATCATTATGCAGCTCGCACAGCCCTACCCACACTCACCCGAGTCTTTTCCTGTACCTAGACCAACCACTTTTAGAAAGCTGCAGAATAACCCTAGAGCTGGGAAGCTCTGTGACCTGGCAGGGGTTCAGGGGATGGGAGTGTGACAGGGACAAGGAAACTTGAAGGTTTTCTTTGTTTTATGAATGACATGAGAAGGAGCAGCCACTTCGTAAGTACAGAGTTATTTTCAGATGCAATTTGCCTGCTTTTAAGATTTTACGCACTGCTACTCTAAATAAAAGGAGATCAACTGTGTCTTTTTTTATCATGGACTAGTTAGGGCAAAATTAGTAGTCTTTCTTTCTTCTTCCTCTGAATATTTAAATGTGCTCACACAGTGTAAGCCTCCCCACCTTGCTGTTTAAATTCACACTGGTGGGCAGTATCAGTCCCAAAGGGAAGGCGTTGAATTAATTTTAGTAAGGCAGACACACAGACTGTTCCCTACTGAGAGCACGAATGACCTTTGCAGGATCCCCATCACCAATGCTTTATTTCAACACGTTTTCACCACAGCTGAAAGCCTGTGTTCCCAGGAGGAACCAGCAACTTGAATCAGCGACTGCTTTCATAAGTCCAACTTTCAGTGGCAAGAACGAGCTAAATGTCAGTGTTGGCTGGCCAGGTGTTATTGCAGGAAGGTGCAAAGACTTCTCAAGAAGTTGTGGTTCCCCTGATTGTAAGGTCACCCTTCTTTCACTCTTTAGGCACAAGTAATACTGTAGCCAGGCTTTTGTGGAGATACTTCTCAACACCTACCCCAAGATTTATCTTCAACTTCAAAATCCCATTTGCCTTGTGGGTTTAAGACAGTGATTTGGCACTTGCCATCTTAAGAGATACATGATCTGTCACTCAAAATGAAACTTCCAGCAGCATATCTGTTGCTAGGATGTGTGCAAACATGCAAAATGAAGCAACAACTTCTAGGCAACTGAAAAGCTAAGGAAAAAGACTGTTACATGTATGCAGAAGTGGCAATTAATAGTATATCTTGACCTTTTCCACAAGGCATTGGCAGCTCTTTAAAAGATATACACAGAGGCCAACAAGTGATTAGAATTCGTTCATAGATACCAGGAAACTATCTTCAAGTCACTAATGATGGAAAAGTTTCAGTCTGATTGATTGCAGCTCTAAATTTTGGAGTATGTAGTGATACAGCTTGAGATAGGAAGAAGGTTAGATATTTTATTGGTGTCTTACTATATCACTTTTTATTGGATTGAAGCCTGTGACATTGCATCTGGATCAGAAAATAAAATCTGAAAAAAAGATATGAAGAGACAGCTTCAAATCTATTGCAGCTGAGCTTTCAGTGCCAGAACACAGGCTGCAAAGCAGTCCTTTTCTCCAGTGGCTGGTCTTTCCACTGTGCAAAATTCCCCTGCTGGATTTAAAGACAATTTGGCCACTTCTTCAGTGTCCCCTAGGTAAGAGGTGATTAGCTGGAGATGGTGGTGGGTGGCCCTTCAGTTACTGCAATGGGGTAGCAACTTCCAGGCTATATTAATCTCAAATCTCAGTTTTTCATGTCTGAGTAAAAGTGTTTTCTTTCTTGGTTGCTCTACTGAGTCTGCCTCAAATCTGGGTCTGTCAGTGTCCCTGGAATATGTGTCTGTAGCACCACAGAGAGCACTTTTGAGATCAGTGGCAGTCACCTCCTTTGTCTCCCTCAGCAAAGCCTCCATTTTTAAAAGATACAGGTGGAAACACCCTTATTAAGATCACACAGACAAATGAGCATTTCTTTAAAAACCTTTTAACAGGAGAACCAAGTTGCCCCCTGCCCCTTTTGCAGGAAGTGGTCCCACTAGGATTCCTTGGTAGCATCAGACTCTATCCATGCTCGATAATGAAATAAGCTGCTCATCGGCTGCTTTACACATGCACTGACCTTGGTTACTGCTGCTGCTTTGGCACGACTGAGAATATCGGGTATTTAGACTAGTGCTGCCCTGGTGAATATGAAGAATAATGCACTTGCACTAGTGCAGCTTATAATCTTATTTCAGTTGGTACCTACAAGTGGTCGAAGATTTAGAGATTCCCTTGCTATTAGTTTTGCTTCACATTATGCTCCTTGGCAGATCTGTAGTGTCAGTAGCAGTGACCAGGAGAAATGTTGTGAAATGCAGCTGCAGGGCTTACACCAGAGCTCGCTGCTTCTCCCTTGGAAGCAGAATGATGTTATGCATCATCCTATTGCCAGAAAAGTGGTGAAAGGTCTGCTGCTTTGCCTCTGTAGATTTCATGGGTTTGGAAAGTCTCAAATTTTATAGAGATGCAAGTAGACATTTGCATTCAGCACGGTGTATTACCTTCCTCTTCAGCCCCCTGCAGCTTTTCTTTACACAGTCATACTGGTGCTCTAAAGCTTGTCTCTCACCTACTATTTCATAAAGAGAGTAAGCTGAGATAATAGATTTTGCAGCCTCAAGCTTCATTGTATTCAAAAACTGGAACCTCTGAGGGCAAAATCCTAAAATATGAATATTTAGGCCCAGTTTGCTCTTCAGTTCTCTGCAAGATGCTGGTTCCTTTGAATCTGTCCCCTGCAATGTCTGAAAAGCTCCTAAAATGGGTTGAAGAGAGAGGCTGTATTAGTTCATACCAGAAATAGTGCAGGACGTACCTCATCAGTTGCTGGACATCTTGCACACTTCTGTGTCAGAAGAATAGCTCACCTAATTAATTGAAGCCCCTTTGGACTTACCAGAAGCATCTGACAGATACCAGCTGTTGTTGATATATAGGATGGGAGCAAAATATCCTCACGCTCAGCAGGTATCAAATTCTTTAGATGAGACAGCTGCAAATGAAAGCATTGGAAAACATCAATCCAAAATACCCAAGCTAATTCAAAAAGAGGATCCCAGACAGAGGGGTAGGGCTCTCCTTGAACAGTTTTTTTCCATAACCCAGAATAATGAGTGATGGAGGCTAATTAGAGACCCCAGCATGTTCCCCAGCCTCACTGAAAGAACAAAGTCAAAAACGGCCACTTCGGCATTCATGTCTGTGGATCTGGAAGGCAGAGGAACTGCTTACCATCAGGATGTCTGATTTTATAGCATAGTACATTGAGTGGACTAGCATGTTCATGAGATTTCCCTTGTTTAAAACCACTGTCAATTCATAACTCTACATTTAGATCTTCGACAGTCCATCCTTCGCAAACAAACCTATTTAAAGCTTCAGTATTAGGTGTGGGAACACAACACACACATCACCAGACAGGAGGTAAATGACTTTTATGGAAATAAATCAGTATTTGACTATTCTGGAGTGTAGGCAGGAGGCATGCTGCTTGGCCTGCTGTAGGCAGTAGGTCTGCATTCCAGGGATGAGAGAGTTTCTCATCTGACATGGACAGGGTACGTGGCCACACTGCAAGGTTTGGCAATTTGAACATATTTAGTGTATCAGGAAGCAACACTTCTGTGCAACGGGTGTCACTCGCATCCAAAGCTCATCTCAGCTTTTCATCTTCCTTATCACCTAATTTCTGACAAGTGGCTTTTGGCAAGTCACAAATACACAATACTCCTCAATTCATCTGCTATTTGAAGAATGGTAACCTCAGTCAACAGATTGCTTGGAGTAGAAAAGAACAGAAACCAATCTTTCCATCTGGAAGATTTTGGGCTCCCTAACTGTTGCATGTCTTGCTGTTTTGCCTTAAGCAAGAAATAGTCCAGATATCCCCATAGTTGCCACCTTACTGAGGTAACACTACTCCCCATAGCTGAGGTACCTCAGTTACTTCAGTACTTTCAGGCTAAAGGAAGCATCCACTGTCCCAGCCCACCTAGCCCACTTAGTGAACTGTGTCTTCCTAATAAAGATGCAGAGGCCCCTGACTGTCACCAGAGCACATCTGGTAGGAAGCTTTGTCTAGGGGAGGTGCCTTCTGGCTTTATATGAACATCATGAGTGTAAGTCTGGATGTCTTCTAAGAGGAGGAAAAGTAGAAACTTATGGTCAGTCATATCAGAGCTCTTTGTCACCACCTGTAACGGTGCACAGGTTTTTCTTGCTGTGTTTTGTCCACATTCCTAACGAAGTTATTGAGTTTTTTTCATCTGTAGTTATAAATATTGTGAGTTTTTGGTTTTATTTGTCCCACAGAGTATTGAATTGACCTTTTCTTCAGCTATCCACAGTACCTCATAGATCTCTTTCCAAAACAGATGTGAGAGAGTGACTTGTCTTTTGAATGCTATTGCCTCACGTGCCTTGGATTTGAATCTCCTCTGCCGTTTTATTGCCTATTCCATCAATCAATATCACAAAATATTTCTATACCTTCACGGACAATTTTTATCTTTAGTACTTCATTGTCAACAACCTGTTTGAACAGCACATGTTCAAGCAGAGACTTTTGTGGAACTCCCTTGGGATAGCTGTCCATTGTACAGCTTGACCATTTATTGCTGCCTTTTATTACTTACTAATTAACCAGTTACTGATCTATGAGCTGAATGCCCCCTTCACTCCACAGAAGATTATTTTCCTTAAGAACATGTACTGTGCAAGGGAGCTCATCAAAAGTTTTTGAGTAAAAAAGTACATTATATCATCTGGAGCCCTCTTTTAAAGTATTTCTTAATTAGCAGTGTGCATTTACTCCGGATCTATAACACAGTGTCCTTAAGCAGTCTTCTTTCTACCTGAAAGCATTTGATGCTTTTGGCCGCTAGTCTCGTTCATTTTTTACAAGCTTCCTCCTTGTAACATGGTTCTGCTTTTGAAACTAAGCACTAGCACAGTGAATTTCTGCAGCCTATTCAGTGCCTTTAAGAATGCAGAACTTGCATGTGTTGTGGTCGTTGCTGGTCACCAGTACAGACCGGTTGTTCAGCAGTGGTGGTTTGTACTAGAGCCCACACCCTGCTCAGGGCCAAGTCAGATGTTACTTTCTCCCCTTGGGATTCTTCTCCATTTGGGATTCTTTCACTATATGCTCCAAGAAACAGTCATTAAATCTGTTATAATGTAGTCTTGGGTTGCATCCTGCTGTAGCACTAACCCAGTCTATGTGGTTCAGTTGAAAATTCATTTTTTTATGGAATTACCTGCCTTTGCTGCACTTAAATTGTAGAAATGGAGCTAGTCGTTTCAGTTACCATTACTGTTTTGTATACCATTAGTCTTGTATTTTTCCTATTGATGCATTAAATAACTTGCCTACAACTAACTCCTTTCTTTAACATATAGCACGACTTTTGCATCCCTGGGTCTCTTTTGTCATTGTAATACAGTTGTACTCTGGGATGATAGAGTTAAAAGGAAAATCCTTTAAAATATGCCAAATAAAAATGTTGCAGTTTTTAATATGGATTAGATAAATAAGAATCGGTCCTTAATTTAGCACTAGAGACATTTTGGTTGCTTTTCTGAGGCAAACCTTCAGGTCTTTTGAGACTCAATGTTCTAACATCAAAACACTCAAGCTGCTTGATTCCTAGGCAATGTGTTGTAAATAGCCTAGAGTGAATTGATATGTTTTTAAAAAAATGATATGGGAGTGATAATAATAACCCTCTGTGACTCAGTGTGCTAGAAATATGCAGCCTGTAATCCTCCCACCATTGTATTCAGCAGTAAGGCTGGGTGCAGGGCCAGGGAACACTGTCTGTAGAGGTAGGGAGTTTGGAGGGATGTTTATAGCTCTCAACAAAATGTCACTAGCATAACTCACCATTGCATGGAAATCCAGGGGAAAGAGTTAGGGGGAAATTTGCCTGCCATGGATGACCAGTGCATAAGTTTTTTGCAGATAATGACAGCAGTTTGTTGTGAGTGAAAGATGCCACTGAGAATTTAATGCTTGTAAGCTGGTGTTTCTCTTGCTGTGTGATAAACACATGGCTGTTTCCGATTAGCTTAGAATCAAGGCCTGAATGGCTTCTGCTTTGGCCTGGGATATATAAATTACCCAATCCAGAACATTCAATTTTATTAATCAACTGAAGAACTAAAGTTGGGGTTTTTCAGAATTGCTTCTGCAAGAAGAACAAGCATGGTGTCAATGATAAATCCTCTATTATTTTCAGTATCACTGCACTGGCCATTACTGGATGCTCTTGGAACACATACCCCAGCAATGTTTTCCCCATGAGCAAGTTACCAAATGCACTTGTACATAAGCACCAAAAACAGACTTACAGCTCATAGTGACTACTACTTGTTTAAAGGAAGCTATTCTTATTTACAGAAGAATTATTACAGAATCTTGTATCTCATATAATGGAGTTATTCTGAGTTGTTTAGAATTGAGTGGCCAGTTTGGTTAGATTAGATATTACTCATTGATGATGCTAGATATGTGAAAGCTTTGTAAGAAAGTGTGTTTTAAAGAAATGAACACAAGTACCTAAAAGTTATTTATCAAATATGGCTTAATAAAGAGGGTCCTGCTGTTGTTGTTGTTCTGGCAATTGTGTAACTTATAAATAAATAGATTGTTAAATTGTTAGATTATATCACTTTCAGTGTGGAGTTAAAATAGAAATAAAAACAAATAGGAGAGTAGATCTTCCATCCCTCTGCTCTGCCCAGATCAGCACCATTCAGTCCTTCCTCTTAGATGTTTGTCTAAACATCTCTAAGGCTGGAGATTCCTCAGCAGCCTCCCAGTCGTCTCTTCCACTAAGCATTTTTCATTATGGTAAGGAAGGGTTTTCCCAATTAATGTGTCCCTGACATTTCAGCTGCTTGGGCCCATGTGAACAGGCACCCAGAATTAGATTCATAATCCCAGTTGTCCTCTTACAACAACTCCAAATGATTCAGAGGATAATGAGGCAGAATGTGTGGAGATGTGAGAGGATCTGCCCCTTCTGGATTGTCTCGCTGGTAAGCAAGGTCACCATAAACCCTAGTGCAAGAAGTGCGATTTTTCTTCCAAGATCTATTAGCTGTACAGGTCTGAATATTCTTGCCAGCTTTATGCATCTTTGGATGTGAGATTTTTTTCTTCTCTCTACAGTGTCTTTTGGTGTGAGTGTTAAAAATTGTTTATGCATCGTTTGAAAAAAATTCCTTTTGTCAGACTTTATTTATTGTCTTCCACTTTGTTTACCATCCCCTTTCTTGTAGAGGGAGAACATATTCTTCCATGTGGAGAACAAAAGCTCTCACCTTGTCTTCTCTGGAGTATTCTGAATTTTTGATTTTGATTTTGGTTCCGTCCCTTCCTGCTAATGTTGTTTTAGACATGAACAATCCATTTCTATCCAGATCTTCTCAATTTATACTTTTCTCATCCTTCACAGAAGCCTTGGTAATATTGCAATACATTTTTTTTTTAAGATGAATCCACCCTTAGTGAAGACAGTATTTGAACTATATGCAGAATGCTGATTATTTATATGCTGCTTTTCATCCCAATTCATATTTATGTTAGCAACCTGTTTACTTTTTTTACTTTTTTTTTTTTTTTTTTTTGGTCTGCAGCCACATGGATTTGAATTGAGTTATTTTCCTTCAAACTTGAATGGAAGGAGCTTTCAATTCCATTGCTGAAACCAAAACTGAATGTTGTATTAAGTTTTTAAGCCGATTGTGAAAGATATGTGCATGACTTCACTGCTTATTTTGTCTCATATCGATCTGTTGGATAGTTAAATACCACAATGTTACTTTTTAATGAACTCTAATTAAAGAGCTTGGGCTGGACTGTCATGAAATTGAATTTATAATTAAACTCAGTGGAGCTACTTCTATTTACACTTGCCACAGACCTAGCCTCTACTTACTCTTGTAGTGTCTTCCACCTTTTATTTATGTCACATATTGTTGTTTACCTCATGCCTTTTCAAAGCTAACTTTTTCCAGCTAACTTTTCTCCAGTCAGATATCTGAAAAGTTAAATGAGGGCTGTTCAAGTATAAGGCAGAGTATATGCTGCTAGCTCGTCCTTGCAAAATACTTACATGTGTAGATTGATGAAGTGGGTCTTTAAAGGCACTCTTGAATTCTTTGAGATAAGATTGTTTTGAAGTCATCTACTTTTTTTCACTGGAGACATTAATTTTGTTCTTTATTCTCTATGCTACAGACAGAGCCTATAGTACTATAACACTGCAGCTTGACTAGTTAAAATATTCTAGTTTCTATATCTTAATAGATGAGGCAGTTCTTACTTAAATGAGCTTAAGGCCAGACATCACCTTTCATGTTAACTTCTTAGCAGGTGAACTCTAATGTGCTAGACAGAGCCAGCAAAAGGTTTTGAAAAGAAGTTTTGGTGCCTTTCTTGTTAATTGAACATCTCTTATGAATATAGTTTACTGCAAACTAATGGGCTTCATGAGCTAAGTATTATTTTTCATGCTTTGTTTCTTGTGATTTCCTCTTTTGATTCTACCTAGTTTGCTCAGTAGCATTTGTGTAGAAAAAATATACATGAAAACATTTCTTGTTGTTTTTATTTTTTTAAGTTAATATGACTTGAAAAATTATTCTATGAACTTGGAATTATTTCTTCCTGTGCTGAAACGCAAATTAATGTTGAGCTGAAATCTGAAGAAGCATTTATAGCGGCTGCAGAAAGACACTTTTGGTTAATTGAATGAGGTCTAAAAGGTTTGCGTGGCTGTTTTTGCAGACATTGATGAATGTGGAACTGGAAGGCATAGCTGCGCCAACGACACCGTTTGCTTTAATTTGGATGGTGGCTATGACTGTCGATGTCCCCATGGCAAGAACTGCACAGGAGACTGCATCCATGATGACAAAATCAAACACAATGGTCAGATTTGGGTGCTGGAGAATGACAGATGCTCTGTCTGCTCGTGTCAGGTCAGTAAAGGTGAAAATTAGCTGTTTCTGCAAGATGGTTGTAGGGGTGAAGAGAAGACAATAATGATTCCAGTGAAATTCCTGTTTTAGCTGCCCTTTCTGCTATGCAGCTGGTGCTACATACATGTGTTACTCTATAGAGTGTTTTGGGGAGAGCCTCCTCTCTCCAGCCTTCACAAACACAATTGTCTTGGAAAGTTTATTATACAATTCTGTGAGAAGGATCTAGTACGATTTTGTTAGCAGAGATGCCAACTTGTGTTTTCTTGGTGGAAATCAAGACTTTGTCACTCAAAGGATACTGTCTGTCTAGACACATATTGGCACTGGTTACCAAACCCATTATCACTAGCAGATGGCTATAAATATAGATGGATTCTATAGCTGAAGAGTAATTTCAGCTTAACTTTCTCAAATGTCTGCTCCAGGATGCCAATCCCAAGCTAAATGTAGAGGAAGTCCATGCAGGATGGAGAGCCATTATACACAGGTGACCAAGTACTGAGCATTTCAGAGCCTCAATTTTCATTAGCATGAATTTAATTTCAGATTACAATTCATCATCCTTTTGTAAATAACTGCACAAGACAGGACTGATCTGGGAGTTTAAAACAAGACTCACCTATAGCACCCATATGAGAACAGCAGAGAGTTAATTCAATCCTTTCAAATTTGACCTTGAGAGAAATACCCTTAGGTTTTATCATCGTAGACAAGACCTGCCTTAAGACCAGGTGAATGAAGCATTTCCACAAGACACTGAAAATGTGCAGTGATCTATGAGTCTGCAGGGGAACTTATGGTACTTACTCAGAGCGCACTGTGCCTTCTACCTCTGATTAAATTGTATTTTAAAGAAGCTACATAGTGGAAAATGTCTTGATCTGCCAGTGGCTTAGACTAGCGCCTACAAATCAGGGTTTTGAACGTGTGCAGTTGGAGTAACGCAGATTTCTGCCTTGTCTCTGTGTCTCTGTGCATCACCAGAGTGGCTATGTGATGTGCCGGCGAATGGTCTGCGACTGTGAGAATCCCACCGTTGACCTGTTTTGCTGCCCCGAGTGTGACCCACGGCTCAGCAGCCAGTGCTTGCACCAAAGTGGAGAGCTTTCCTACAACAGCGGAGACACGTGGATACAGAACTGTCAGCAGTGTCGCTGCTTGGTAAGTCTTCTGCTGCCAGCACACAAGACGCAAAGAAAACAAGGTGGGAGATACTTTGCTGTGTGTGTTTTGGTGCATTAGCATCCATTTAGTTCCACCTGGAGTAGGTACATAATTAAAATGTGTGTGTGTGTGTTGTGTGTGTGTGTGTGTGTGTGTGTGTTTTAATGGATGTTTGTCATTATTATCGAGTTCCAGTCAAAAATGTGCTTGGACACAATAGACATAGTCAAAATTATTTGATCATAAACATTTGATCATGTTTTAGCAGAGTGCAGGTAATTTGAATGCGGAGTATGTGCAAGAACACAGGAATTCAGAGACAAGTGAAGCTTTATAGGAAAATTCTAAACAAATAGGAAATTTTTATTACAGCTGATAATTTCTCAGGTTTTGACAGTGTAAAATCTATTCATTCAGACATTTCCAGTAACATAAAAATTAATAAGACTTGATACAGTCTTCAAAACAGTGAGATTAGGTTTGGAAAAAAGGAAGGTTTTTTAAAAGCTTGTGATCTTTTTACTAGGCACGCATTTTAGATCCTAGACAAAACCTTTTCTGCCTGATGCAGATCAGGAAATTACCATGACAGAAACAATCTTAAGATAAAAATGAATTGCTTTTACCTCAGGTTAATCTCCAGAGGTAAAACCTAGCCCATCTAGCAGCTTTCCTGTGTCAGAACATCATGAAAACGAGCCAGAGACCAATTCCTGTAGACAAACTTGACTTTCAGTGTTACCGTGACTAAAATCCAATGAAAAAGATTCCCAGGTGCTTCATTAAATATCTTCAAAACAAAACAACAAAACAAAAGAACCTACAGCTTGAGACTTCCATAGATGTCTCTTCTTTATTCAAGATGCCGCTTCAGTAACTAAAGTCTACTTTCCTCCAGTTATCACAGCGATATTTTAGGTGGTAACTTTTTGTTTACTTTTTATAGTGCTCTTCAGTTCAAGAAATAAATTGCAAGTTCAACATCATTGGCGGATTTTAAGATTACTTTCATTCGTAGCATCGTATGATTCAAAGAAAAAAAGCGGAAAATTGACCCAGATGAGAATTTTTATAAAATAGAAACTTCACAGTACTTTCTGCACTAAGAACAGTACAGTCAGTACCATGGCAAATTCCCAGGGATCTTTCTCACCTTTTACTCTGGAGAAATTTAACTCACCATTGCTCAGAGAATTAGATACAGTTCTTGTGAATAAATTTCTTTCCTGGGCCAAATGTTGCTTTATTTCTTTACTCCCTCCTTCATAAATCCTGTCTGCTCATTCTCTGCTCAAATGACCTGAATAAGTTTTTAGGTCAGAGATAGCTCTGTTCCCACCAAATGTTAATCTAAGACTTCTATGAAATCTTTTCTTTGACCAACAGAGGCAAAAATTTGGCCCTTGTCCAGAATTGAATGCAAGTTGCTCCCAGCTTCCAGTAACTGAAGTGAATAACTAGACGTGTTAAGATTTGTCTACAGGAGTGCAGTAACTTCCCCAAAGAATATTCTGGCTCACTGCAGGTCTCTCATTTGACCTTCTCAATTTCTGATTGAACCCATCATGTAAAGTGCAGGATTTAGACAGGAAATCAGATAATCTGGTCATACTGTCAAAAATGGGTGGTAAGTGGGTGGAGGTCTTTTCACTTTCATTCCCTGTTAAACTGTGTTGCTGATTGCTGACACTCCTGCTCCAAGCAATAGACTTGTAACCTTAGTGGGAAAAAAGTAGCTCCTTCAGAGCTGAACATATGAGGGCTTCTAATGCCAAATCAACAATCTTAATAGAAATCAGAACTAGAGGAAAGAGACATCAAAGCAATTTTGAAACATAGTCCTGTTGCAGCTTTTGCCACTTGCAGAAGTAGAACTAACAAGAAAAAATCCATATTCTGTATTTCATGGAGCTTACTTTTCAGTTGCTGAATTCATTTAGTTCAAAATTAGTTCAGTTGCAGGGTGCATTGACATAAGTTAAATCTAATACCTTTCCTGAATAGCATGCAGCAAAAAGCACTCAACTTGCTGTTCCCCACAGGCAGTGAATATTAGTGATCTCTGCACTAGCTTTTGAATAGGACCAGATAAAAAAAAAGGTTGGCTAAGGAAGATAATGCTGACTCAGAGAAACAGACAATAAAGCAAGTCATAAATCAAAACAGTAACTCATAATCTTCTCTTGTTCCTGAAACATATTTTTCACAGCAAGGAGAAGTTGATTGTTGGCCCTTGTCATGTCCGGAGGTGGATTGTGAGTTCAGTGTCCTCCCAGAGAACGAGTGTTGCCCCCGCTGTGTCACTGACCCCTGCCAAGCGGACACCATCCGTAACGACATCACCAAAACCTGCCTGGACGAGACCAACGTCGTCCGCTTCACTGGATCTTCCTGGATTAAACACGGCACCGAGTGCACCCTTTGCCAGTGCAAGGTAACGAGCAGGGCACGGGGCTGCAGGGTCTCCTGCCCGGTTGGTTCTGCGGCATATAAATGTTAATGCCCTGAGTCTGATCCCTAGATAGACAGTGTCTACACTGGCTTTAAAAGCAGAGGAGGTTAGAGTCAAAATATTTAGAAAATGTTCAGTTTTGTGAACTTCATTCTTGCATGCACTGGTGATGGCTTTAATGCACAAACAGGTCAGAAGCAGGACAACAGCCCCTGCCACAATGTGCTTGGAACAAGTTACAGGGCTTGCTTTTTCCATGAGAATAGCTCCTTTCAAATTTGATTGCAGGACAGCTCCATGCTTTCTTGCAAATGTGCACAGTAACAAACAGGTATCTAAGGTGAGACCGCAAAAAATGTGCTGTGTGTCATACTACAAAATTAATAGAACTAATCGATTTGCTCCATCAGAATTGTCATGATCTAATACTTCATGTATTAGTTACATAGGTAGTATGCTTCTAGTTACATGAGTATATAGTTTTCTTGCTTTGAAGTTAATAATAAAATCAACATAATGTTTAGAGCATCTAATAATTTTTGTAGCCAAAGGAACTCAGTTTGAGGAGAAAAAAATTACAGCTATGGGCTTACATGGATTCTAGCATCTCTTCTTCTTTTAAAAAATGCAAGAGAAGTTAAAATAAGATTTTCCTATTCAAAATAAGCCTCTAAGTAAATTGAATTATATTTTCTATAATCCAGTAGAACAGACTAAGAGTGATTCCACCATAGCCATGGAGAGAGAGACAGAAGGATTTATCCAAAGGATGTGTATCTCCTCCTGCAATTCAGCATTGAATTGATTTTTATCCTATGTCCTTCCCAAGGAGGAAACTTCCCAAACTCTAATACATTCTATCATAAATTATTTTAAAAAGGTGCACATAAAAATAGTGTATTTTACTACTTGTTCCTGGGAGAGAAAGGCAGTAGTTGGTCCTGCAGCAGAAGCTGTTCAGAAGCTGTGTGGACTGCCTGACATGATGCTGTGCACAGCAGCCCTTGTCACGGCTCTTGGGAGCTCAGGCCTTTTCTAGCAAGGAGCATCAGCTGAATCAAGTGTGGACATTTGTCTTCATGTCGGAGTTGGTCTGTGGTTAGGAGAAAAACTATGAGCTGACACAGTGGCCAATGGTTAGAAAGCCAGCTGATGCCCAAAGGATGTTGAGAGAGGTCTGCGTGCACAAGCCTGTGTTAGTGAGGGCCATAACTGGTGGCAGGCACCAGTTGTAGTGGTCAGAGTTACTCTGGAGGGAAGAAAATTAAAGAAATGGGAGCTGCAACCAAGTGGGTGAAGGAGAAGTGATTTTCCCACTGACCTGGTATTTTTCCCCCCAAAGTCCTGATTGTGCTTTGGCAAGTCACTGTGGTTTCTGTACCTTGGTTTCCCCACTGCAAAATGGCTAATTATGTGTGATTCTTCTCTAAAGCACATGGAGATTCAGCCATTCAAAATGTATTTTTCACTGTTATATTGTTAATCAATGGTGCTGCAGAAGAAATCTATTTTATACCAGTTTTCTTGATGTTTTTCTGTCTGCTGCTCCCCTTTGCCCTTTTCTCTTAAGTAAAGATTGAACTGTAAGCCTGGACTAATTGGTATTCGGAGTAAACATATACAGAGGTTACTAGATCTCTTGCTGCATTGTGAGATTGTGTGCAATTGAAACAGATACTCTGCTAAACTCCGTAGATTTAAAACAGCTCAGGTAAGAATTTGCTCTAAGAACCCATAAAAAACACCGTTGCATTATTATACGTCAGTGTCCCAGCTGCCTGGAATTAGCTATTTCAGTGGGTAGTCACAAACACGAGTCCTTGATAAAAGTTACTGTGCTGTTTAAATCGGATTTTCAGTATGTAGCTGTGCGTTCCACATTATGGGTTCTTGAATATCACAGTGCAAAACAGACAACAGGGCAGTGATGCTTAACAGAGGAGATGTAGCACTTTGTCCCTCAGCAAGCAAATCTTATTCAGCTCTCCTCACAGAGCAGTGTTCTTTTAGAAATACAATATCTGTTCCTGTCCATGGCATTCTAATATTTCAGTTCTGCATGCAGGCAGCCCTCTCCCTCCAGCTCAGGTTAATGCTGTGCTCAGTTCGTGTAGTTCTCTCATTCGTCCTGTGCCTCTTTCTGCAGCGCGTCACATGGAAGGTCAAGGCTCTGGGATAAGCCTCTCTACCCAAGCTATAGCAAAATAGGTTTACACAAATCCTTTAAGAATTCAGAAAGCCAGGCATCAGCTACAGCTGCCTTAGCCACAAAACCATTTCAAATCACAAGTGAAGAAGGTGAGCGGCAGGATTGCTCGACCTCCTGTCACAAAAAGAGTGAAAGAAAACATCTGAGTGATTCGGACCTTGGTCTTTAATCGGCCCTGGCAATTCAGTCATCTAACTGTATTTGAATTAATTTAAAAAGAATGCACACATTTTATTTGCATTGAGAGAGTCAGACTGAGGAAAGAAGTAGTGGGAATGTAGAAAACAGATTTTCTCCATCTTTTTTAGTCATATCTTAGTCAATCTGTTCCCTTAATTGCTAATATTCTCAAAAAAAAAAAAAAAAAAAGTCTATCAGAACCTTGCAAATTAGCAGAATCAAACCCAGAACTATCAAACCCTGCGAATTAACCTTTGCCAGTGTTACTGCCTGGATGTAACAATTTGAAGCACTTAGCGCTAAATAAAACTCTCAGTCTCTTCTGTCTGAGTTAAAGGAAAGCAATAAAGCCCGGAGTGCCCCTGTTGAGCAGCGCAGCGCGTGCTGCGGGCAGGCAGCCGGCACCTTTGCAGCAGCTCAGCGTCCTTCACGGATCCCAGCCTGTTTGGGCTCCGTGGCTGCAGCTTCGTGGTGCCCACAACGGCAAACTGCACCGTGAGGGGAATCACCACATCCCTCCCCGGGGTGGGAAGGGCAGGATGGCAATATCATGGATCAGATCAAAGTTGCACATGTCTCTATTTTAGAAATCTCTATGTTAAAGCTTAGTGGGTGTTTACAATTAACAGATCTTCTTAAATTGATTGAATTTCTATTCGGTTATACTAATTATTTTTTATTCTCTCCTCCCTTAGAATGGCCACGTTTGTTGCTCAGTGGATCCACAGTGCCTTCAGGAACTGTGACGCTAACGACCAGCTCTCACAAGCAGCAGTTTCTGGTTAAACAAATTCCTTCACAGAAAAAAAAAAAAAAAAAAGATCTTTAGACCAAAAATTTTACAAAATCAAAACTGAAATTAGGTTGGTTTTGTCCATCTAAAGTGCAGGAATGTGATGAACTCAGTGAGGAGTCAGAGTGAAACTCATGGGACTCAAGAAAATCTCAGATGTGTAAACCTTTGTGTGAGGTCAGGCCCAACTTCTGGCTATTTATATGTCCGAAATCATTATGCAGAATATTAGGTTAGTGTAAAATGACACACTGTAATGATGTACATAACAATGTCAAGATCAAAAATGAACTGGAAGTCTTTTTAAGCTTGAGGGTCCAACACTTGACCAGGTGCAGAGATTTTTACCTGGTCATATTTGGATCTGCGTAGATGTGCTTGGTTGCTCACTGCAGAAATTAGCAGACATTTGAGTACAAGGATGAGGCCTTCAGGAATAAAGAACATAGTGGCTAAGATGTGTTATGCACAGTATGTGCTCTGAAAAAAAAAAGATACAAGTTATTGTAAAAAATAAAAACACAAAAACAAAAACCGTGATGCACAGGCATGGCTTCTTAATGTTTTCTGATGGGAAAAGTCATCAATATTTCCTTGTTTTACTGCACTTACTATTATTTCTTGATTGAATTTGTTCAGTATAAGCTCGTTATTGTGCAAATTTAAATAAATATTTCTCTTACCTTATGTTTCTTTGCGTTGCCTTTCCTTTCCAGACAAGTCCTTGTTGTATTGTTATTGTTCTTCCTTCATCAGCACAGCTCGACAGCTCTACCTTGTAGATAATGTATCTCTCTCCTATAGCTCCTATACATGCGGGGGGTTCCGCCCAGCACATGATGCCCATCATTTCATATCTTGGCCATTCCTCTGAGAGCACGTGAATAACTTCCCATGTGGGAGCCATTACGGTGGATTGAACAAAATTATTTGAATGGATTGAATGAAACGATTTGGACAGCTGGAGAGCAGGGCCTGAGCACTGGGCAGGGCTCCCTGGAGCGGGCACAGGCCCTTGGCTGGGGCTGCATCCGCCCCGGGTCGTGCCCTGGGCTCAGGCGCCTGCTCCTTCCAGCTGCAGCCCTCGGCTCTGTCCTTCTGCAGCAGGTTGCTTGGCTTGTGCCTGTGGGACCTCTCTGTGCGTGAGGATCCTGCTGGTACTTGCTGGTACTTGCTGCTAAAGAGGCAGTCATGCATCAGGGGGGATCACTTAGGTTTGCCAACCCTATTTTCACCCCTGTACTGCTGTGACAATAAATAAAAGCAGCTACGGAGCCATGTTATTCTGGGAAGGGAATGCAGTATAAAGCTGCAGCTGCAGAGCAAGGGCTTGCAGAGCATGGATGTTCAGGGATACGCTGCAAACAAAGGAGGCAAAGCCCAAGAGGAGGAAACCACCAGATGGGCAGCACTCTCTTAAATCCTGCACTAGTAGTCTTCTCAGGTGCCTCATTTTCCCTCGTCATTTTTTCATTTCAGTTTAATAGGTCATCAAGCAATCTGAGCAGGCGAAACTTCTGTTAATATCGACCCTTTATGGTATTATGTTACAAGGGAAATCTGTGTATGTGTTTTTTCACAATGCAGAATCTTTGCTTTCCAGCAGAAGCTACTTTGCAATATTTCATATACAGGAGGAGATCAAAGGATCATGCAAACACATGAATCTGATGATGGGTAATTTTTACCAATAATTCAGTCTTACTGAACGTTGCATTGTTTTGGATCAAGAAATACAAGAGATGCCTGGCCAGTGAATGCAAATAATGCAGATAACAATAAATACAGATAACAATAAATTAAAAGTCTGAAAAAAATGCAAAAGAATAATTCATTAAAAAAAAAAGACAATATTCTATATCGGACCATTAAAGCCACAAAGATTTTCAGCCCAAATGAGCCTTTTGCCTCTTTGACACCTTGTCCATAAATAACAGCCACTCAAGGGATTTACTGTTGTGTCCAGTTCCTGGCAAGCTGCAATCAATACTCTTGAAGCACCTGGAAAAGGCGGCTGTTCTGAGCGGGGGTCTCTGAGGTGCCGCCTGTCCCTGCCCGCAGGAGCAGCCGTGTCCCGGGCGCACGGCACAGCCCGGCTGCTCCCGCAGCTGCCGGCCTGCTTCCGAGGGAGCTTAATGCAACGTGTTAGTGCTTAGGAATTGCACGCTGGTTTTAGCAAAGAGTAGGTACGGGATAGGTATAGGAAATGCATGAAAACTAGATTTTTCTTCTTTTTTTTAAAGATATAGGGGAAAAAAAGAAAAGAACAAACATTTTTCAAGGACAAAATCCCCAGTTTCTTTCAGACGCTACAGAAACCCTTGAATGCAGCCACAGAGCTGGCACAGGGAAGGTCATATCCACAGCATAGCTGTAAGCATCCCCTTTAATCCCGTTTTTATTCAAAACAAGAAAAGGTGCATGGATGGGAAGCAAGCATCCCTTTTCCTTTGTTATCCTCACCTGAGTGTTGCGGGGTGTCTCTGCTATTGTGACTTGATCAGGGGCAGTGCAAACCACTTAAGAACAGGCTGGAAAGAAAGGAGTCGAGACATAATAGTTAAACCTTGAATTAAATCCTTGGTGAGTCATTCAATATTACATGTATGTTAAGGGAAGTTATTCTGCTGAACAAAGCTGAAATTCTCTGCTGAATAAAAAATGAGAACGGGCTGAGAGAATATTATCTAATTTATCAATGTTCAAGGTTACTAATTAATTGGGAGTTCTTCTAAAGGTCAACAAACCCCAGTGAGACATCCTGATGACCCTCACTTTCAGCCCCTTCCCATCTCCTTTCTGCTCAGTCAACCCAGTAATAAATCGTTCATGCTTCTGATTTTCCTCAGAAGGTAAATTTAAATAATATTTAAAATTTATGTCTGAGTTTCAGGCCTAAAGCTGTCTATGGCAGCCAATATTATCCATAAAAAAAAAAACCATTTGCATTTCTATCTTTCTAAAATATGTACTTAGCGTGAGACAGGTATATTGTGTTCTCTTACTAACCTTTCATTATTGATGCATTGTTTTCAGTACTAGAATTTAATAACTTCCATAAAGGAACTGACACCTCTCTGCAGAGTAATTGCTCTAAGTTAATAGACCAACAGATAAAAAGGCAGAAATATCTTCAGTTACCCTGAATTCAATTCTGTGGTGGAATGAGTTGACAAAAGCTGGCAGCCCCGTAAACGTGTGAAAAGGGAACTTTTCAGCTGCAAATTTCTGGTGTTCACAAATACCAGAACTATTTGCCTTGGCTCTCAAGCTGCCGGGAAGCGACTGTATCACGGCACATTCGTGAGGCCTCAAAGGAAATACCCCTAGTTGCTCAGGAGGTTTATTCCCCAGGAACTGAATTTTGGCAACAAATACTTACCAGCAGGTCCATGTGTGTGTCTAGAAATGGACAATTAGGTAGGTGGTTCAGGAGGACTCCGAAAGTTTGCATGAGTTCCAAGGGAGACCAGACCAGTTCACACAGGGGTTGGTTTCCCACGTCACCAAATATGTAGGGACCGGATCGAGCTCAGGACCTTCCCTGGTCTGGAGAGAGGGGTGAGCAGCATCGCAGAGGCCCTGCTTTGCTGCCAGGGCAGGGCCTTCTGGAGGCCTCCGCTAGGCCCCTGTTGCCAACAGGGCGCAGGCGGCAGCAGCCGGGCTGCTGGTTGACCCCGGCGGCTGTAATGATGCCCACAAATTTCACCTTAATGCCAAGATATAAAACTTAATGGGAAGGTGTAAAATTTGAAAGATGGCAAAGTGGACTTTATTCTGCCTTATTGGAAAGGTCTAGAGGGAGTGCTTTTGGTTTTTGTTAAACATCTAAAGAAAATATTTCAGTGCAACAGAGACAGGGAGAGCAGCGCGGCTGGGCAGTGCCAGGGCGGCAGGGAGCTCTGTCCTGCAGCAAACAGCAGCTGGCTCTTCCTTATTCTCCATGGCCACGGCTCCGGCAATCTCTTCTGTTTCTATTTTAATTTTTAATTAAATATTTAAAACCTCTTGATGCTTTGGCGTGCTGGCCAGATCTCTGACCTGGAAGGAGAAGCGTAGAGCACCACTGGAGTCCTGTGCAAGAAGAGCTGCTTTAGGGAGAGCCGGAGAAGGAAAAAGTCCATGTTGCAAATCCTGTTCCTGAGTTCTGAGCCGTGTAAATGGCAGGGAGGTTGCCAGTATTTCACCTTTTTGTTGCCTTCAGCGAGCTGCTGATGCTAAAAAACAATCCAAATCAGTTATTTAAAATTCATTTTATAGGCCATCCATATAGGCCTGCACTAAAACTTAGCAGGTCCGTCCATGCTGATTAACATTTTCTTATTGTTGGAGTTTACATGGCAAGATGCCAGACAGAATTGTTTAATGTAACCTTAGATTTGCACCCTATGTTCTACCAATATATTTTCCATAGATCATTTCTATAACCTAAAACTTTAACTACTAGAAAGCATAATAATCTATTGATCACTTTATATTTCATCCATAAAAGAGCCAAACTCAATTACTATGCTTTCTCTGAAAACCTGTTTTTGTAAGTAATATCATTTTATGATTTTAGACTTGCAGTAACTCCCAGGATGTCATTTATGTATCAGGAGCATTTCTTATGTCTGCAAAATAAAGGTCTTTAAGAACTTATTTTAAGGCTGAGTAATAGCTGAAAACCAAAATAACTAGAGGTGTATCGCAGTAGCCAGAACTTCGTTTTAATCACAGCGGCAGAAACGAGGTACTGAATTAAGGGCAATTTCCCAATTTCCCACCTCCCACCCCACGAGGCAGCCCAAGGTGCTGCACGTGCCTGCAAGCCTGGCCGGGACCATCCTGTGGCCATGAAGACCTCCAGATCTAGGGCCGAGCCTGCATGGGAGGCTCCTTTACCAGGAGGACAAGGGCTCATGAGCTGGAAAACACATTTCTCTGGGAAAAAGCAAGAAAATGGTCTTTGAGTTGCTTTCCAAAGCAAAAACCCCTTTGTTTGCCCTGCTCACACTGGCTGTGGACAAAAATTAAGTGTTTGCAATCCAACCTTGAAGAGCAGCACCCTACAGCACTGGTGTGGTCATTGGGCCCCATGGACAGACACCCATGGGAGAGGTGGCACTGGGCTGCACCTTGGATTGGGAGCTGACCTTGGTCGCCTCCTTCCTAGGTTATCGAGCAAATGTGTCTTCTTCCCTCCCGCTTCTCCTGCATGAACATCCAGGTCAATACCTGGCAGATCCCTCCAGCCCCAACCCGGCTCAAGCCAGCGCTGATGCTTTCCATGGCAAATGCTGTTATTTTTGTTATGCCTTCAAGCATCAGTAAACTGAATTCGTCACTTCTAGTGCTGGAGACCACGAGTGCTGCTACAGAGGTTTCAGTCGGTGTTAAACATCCCTTTACAAAAGCAAGTATGTATATATTCCCATTGCACATTGGTAAATGTTCACAAGGAGTGGTGCAATTATCATTGCCTGATTTTGCTATATTCGAATAGGTTTGGAATCAAATTCTTATTTTAGTCTCAATTTTCACAGTTTAGATTCATCTGTGTTTGCTGGTGCTTTGGGACTTGAACCAGGATGAGAAATTAGTGGCTGAAATCTTAATTATCTTCGTGTTTTCTCCTGATTGAGGATTATAGCAA